CAATCTCGTACCCAGAGCCCACACTTTTGCCATCCAGCGGATGTCAATGCGTGAGAGACTCTGGAGGAAACAATTTTTTCTCGATTCGTGATTGGTTGAAAATGACGCGAGCGCGCATTGTTTTCAAATCGGTTTTTCAAGTCGCCAGCGCGCGCTCGCCTGTTTGATCAAAAATATCATACTTTTATCGCATAACCACACATGTTTTCACACATTTGTGTTTTTTAAAAGGTGTCAATACTGTTCCTAAACTAAGTTGTGTGCTAAACCTTCTTCTTTTTTGTCATTTTGATGCTCTAAAGCGGCAAAAACAAAACTGACCTAATTTGCATAATTTGCGACGGAAAAGCGTCGCAAATCCAGTCGATTCCTCCAGAGTCTTTCCGGCGTCAGCATACCGCTGACATTAGCCGTGAAGACTCTGGGCTCGAGATTGGTCCAGATAAAAAATATTCAGTCGATCTTATTACCGCTGTTCAGCAGGACCGCGTTCAGAGCTGAACAAAATCAAGTTCCGTCAAAAGTTCTAAAGTTCCAAAGCTTTTGGTTCCAGAGTTCCAAAACTTATGACAATGTCAATACCATCTATAACTCAAAAGCATGATTTAGTTTTTAAATCAAAATCCTTCGGTGTGATGAAAAAAAAATGTCAATGACTTTGTTGTTGTATATATTATCTCAAGTGAGCAAAGTTAATGCACGGGATTGGCTGTAGATATATACGTAGGAAAACTATAATTGCGCGCCCCGACTGATTCAGTGAAAAGATATATTCAGTTTTTTTTTCAAGATTTATTATTGCACCATCTGAAGTCGATCGCTCACCAGTTGAGCATATATGAATACCACGCTACTGCGGCTCGTCTTATAGTAGAAGCCATGTATGTCCCAGTCAATATGTCGCGATCGATCTTTTTTGTCCATGAAGTAACACGACAGTGGTCGGTAACGAGCTATATATCTTTTTCAGAGCAGTATATATAGTTCAGCAAATGATCCCAGAGCTCAAAGTTTGATCCCAGTGATCCCAAAAAACAACGACAAGGGATACAATTTTGATCCCTGATTCTTGTCACTGAATCACCTTAATGATCCTGATCTCTGGACATTGATCCCCATTC